GTGATTATGACAAAGCAAATGTGTAGCTGACTCTGAGTCATACTCAATAGTTCTGCTTAGTTCCCTGTTACATAGATGAATCTACACATTCTAATTGATCAGCTAACAGAGGGGAAGTAGGAGGATGTGATTAAGGGCATGTCTACACTAGGAAATTATTTAAAAATCACTAAATTTGAAATAACTCCCCAAATAACTATTTTGAAATAAGCTTATTCCCAAGGGAAAGCAGGAGTTATTATTTCAAAATAACCAGCCTCTTATTTCAAATAGTGAGCTTGTTATTTCAAAATAAGGGGAGTTATTTTGAAATAACTTCCTAGTGTAGATCAGGGCCCAATGTCATAGTTCACTTGCCATTTTCTCAGGATTTGAACAAAAGTTTGTAGGGATGAGAAGTTAGGGTGCTTAACCCACTGTTCAGTCTTATGCCCTCCACCCACAAAAAGTCAGAATCCAGATTCTAGTTTAGTTAAACATAACTGTTCAAGGTGGCTTCTCACTTAGTATGCCCGATACTAATTCACAGTTTATGATTTCCTGGAGTACTTAATAATAACAAGCATATTAATTTATAGATTCTATTCAAGCAATGAATTTGAAGGCTATCCAGGGAGAAGGAATATATATAAGTAAGTTAATATCAAATTTTGTTATTAATTTTGATTAAACTAATATCAGATGAATCTGGATTTATAGAATCTGAATCAGTTTCAAAATGTTAAGAATAAATATCAAGATTTTTTACCTAAAATTTGAATTGGGCAGTTACTTTGTGTGTACAAGTCCCTTTCAGTGAATAGATAATATATATATTGTTTAAACTGAGCATGCCTTTTGGAGGGGCACACAACACTGGTATCAATTTTCAAAATGTGGCCCTCATATGTATGCATCACTTCGAGGTACATTTTGATACTGCCTTGTATAGGGGATAGTCTTGTATGTGTAAATCACCTGAACAGATACATGATAGTGCTAAAAATACATATGCAAGTGTTTTTAAATGAAATTTGTACACAAAAATAAATGGAGAAGGAAACAAGATCTAGTGTTTAGGGCACTGGACTTGGACTCAGGAGACCTCTCCTCAATTTCCAACGTAGCCACTGATTTCCTGTGTGACCTTGGAAAAGTCAGTTATCCTATCTTGTGGATTTTCTGACTTATAGAACTGTTTAAAAATATAGAAAAACTGTAAACCATTGATTAGAAAGTGACATTTAAATTGACTAACTTTACAATATAGATGATTTGGTAGCATTATTTGGAAAATGTTCTTCAAAGCAATATTATATTGTTTCATTTTCATTTTTTCCTAGAATTAGCATTGGAAGCAATCCTCTAAGGAAACAATGCATTACTTGTAATATAAGGAAAGAAAGGTGTCAGTATTACACAGCGAGATTTAGTGAAAATGCAAAGTATTATGCCCTAGTCTGCTATGGTAAGTATAGCATGTGATCAAGCAAATTATAAGTTGTATTTTCAAGGGAATATGAGATAGATGATGATATTTGTTCCAAGCAGTATTTATTCAGTCTTAATAGTTTTCAGACGCGATTTTAAACTGTAAAATGTTGGTTACCAATGACTGGAGAAAATATTTTCAGTTGCTTATTATTTTTTCCTGTGAAATATTTTAACATATTTGTTTTAGTCAATTTTTATATAGGTTTTTGTAAAAAAACAAAAAACAAAAACAGAAATCCCCCAAATTAATTTCCTGACAAACATCAGCCAAAATCACATACTACCATGGGCTACTAAAACTGGTTCTAGAAACCCATTACTGTTTCTTTCTTTGGGTTTCCTTTCCACTAATCTGTACTTTGATTCTTACATAAAAGGCCAAATTCAGCAGTGATATAAGCAAATGGCACTCCCACTGAAATTAGTAAAACCTGAGCCTGCCTAAATCTGGCCTGATTTTGACCCAGAAACTGTTGACAGTTTTCTAAGTGATGTTGTTTTTCACAATAATTATAATTTTTCTGAAAATAAATAGAGAGAGATATGTATATGAGTTAAGTATGAAACCTTTGAAATTGCTCTCCAGCCAGAAATTGATAAAATCTTGATCCTATTCAGATCAATAGGGATTTTGCCATGGACCTCAGTGGACCATTATCAGGGCACTGTAAATAATGGTCACTAAATCTATTTACTATAAAAATTCAAAGAAAAAAAAATCTACATTTCATCCTTCACTATCCAATATGTAGCACAGAACTTTTGCTATCATTTTTCAGAATTTGAATGGAATGTTCAGCTGTACAAATAATAAAACCCCCAGCCACTGGAGCAAGCGTAAAAGAATGATAACACCTCTCAATCATCCTTGTCCAGAATATTTGATGTTGTCATCACCACATGAAATCTATTCACCTTAGCAAATGTGATGTGGCATGTTCTCAGAAGCCCATTTCACATTGTTAATTTTGAGTTCACTTTATGTAACGGCACCTTAGTTATTAGCTAGATGTCACCTTATCTACAGAAAAGAAAAGCTCTTCAGGGTTTTAAAGGTTATCTTCCTCCTTACAGCTTTGTTGCTTGGTAATGGCCAAGACCCCATTTCCTTACCAGTGCTTTTGACAATGTGTGTGGCAGTGACTCCTGTGTTCTTCTGTAGGAATTCCAGAATTATGAAATGTGGCCTTCCTCCTCAGGCCCTGTATCCCTTCCAGCTCAGTACAGTACAGTTAATACAGAAACCTTTGTAGTTTTATATTTTGTTACTAAATTGAATTTAAATTTTCCACAAATTTTCATTGTGACAGATATTTCTGTTAAAAATACCTCACAGCATTATAGGTGATATCAAGATATGCTGGAGGTTTAGACAGATTGGTTGGAGAGATTTGGGGCTTTTGGGTATTATAACTAGGAGGGAAGCTAGTTTGGTTAACCATTCATTCTGTCAGTCAGTCAGTCAGTCATTCTGTTGCTCATAGAGCAAAGAATACACACTTTAGATCACCCATTTCCAGAGAATCCAGTCTCCCACTAGTATTTTGGGCTACCTTTATTAAGATTGAAGCAGTTGCATTTGAAAATCACAATATCTTCCAGCACGTATAAGGCTGCTCATGGGGTCTTCTCTATCCAGCTTCTGTTGGGTCAAATGCATGAAGCTTTGTCATAGCTTGAGTAGACCAAGAATCCATTAGTGGGACTATGATACAGGCATCTGCTCTGTATACAGCAGTCCAGGACTTGCTGTGGACTGTTGTATACAGAACAGATAACTAAGGCACCTGGACATTGAGTCACTTGGGAAGACACTGGAGGCTGGTTAGTATGATTCTTGACATTCTTGTTTGTATCATGAGTATCTTGGCTCCACTGTTATGGAAGGAAGCTGCCATGGTGACATGAAACCTTGACTCCACAAGGCTACATGGTTTTTAAAACCTTCTGTTGTGTCAATACCACATATCAACTTAAACTACAAAGCATATCCATCAAGCAGTACTGGCTTCTGTCTTTCTTTATGGATCTGATACCTGGGTCACTGCTGAGATGCAAATGTGCCAACTGAATGCTTTTGACATGAAACAGCAATGACCTATTGGGTGTACAGTGATTTCATCACAGATAGTTAGCAATAATGATATTTAAATAGACATCCTTAGGCTTCTGAGTTTACATATTATTGAGATGGCTTGGGATAGTTCACACCTTTTCCTAGAGCATTGTCTACTACATGGAAGTTCAGTTATTATTCTGTGGAACCATAAGATTTATTTTAAAATGAAAGCCTGGATTCTGAAGCATAATTATGCAGTCATTTCCTAAAGAAGAGCAAATATACGATTATTTGATGTGGCTGGCAAATACATTATGCCTGGGTCTTGTTAATAGGTATCGTTACACTTGTTAGTATAATACATTTTCAGAGTGTTTACTGCTTTATGATGTAGGTACAGGGGGATAGTCTAGAAGACCTCTTGGAGTCCCTGCCAGCCCTCCATTTCTATGATTCTATATAAAGGAAATGATATGCAAACATTCAATCGGGAAAATTCAAGTAATCTGATATATCTTACCACTGATGTTTTAATAGTATCTCTGCTTTTCAAATCAAGTTGTTTCAATTATATACAACTTTTTTTCTTTTTTAATTCTCATTACAGGTCCAGGCATTCCTATTTCCACTCTTTTTGACAGCAGCAATGACAGAGGTACTGCAAATATTCTGCATATTTCTGTGCACTGTTTTTATCCTGAATATTTGCAAACTAAATGTCATAAATCACTGCTTAGACTTATATTAAAAATTGTGTAACCCTTTTTGAGGGTAGATTCAATATCCAGATTCTTTCTTATTAAATTGTAAAATGTGGATGTACTGTATTTTTATTGTTGAATCCAGACCTGAATTTTACATTGCTAGAAAGAGTGGACATACTGAGCATTGGTAACTCCCAGTGAGCCACATCCTGAGATCAATACAAAGTTTCTATTAGACCTTTGCTCGTGCACACTGCCATTGACCTGCATTTTACTTGAACAAGGATTGACTAGAAATTTTGTGAGGAATCAAAAAGAAATGTCTGGAGCAGGGAAAGGTTGCTCCATCCCACAATGTGAGCTTTTGTTCTCTAGCTATGTTCTTCCAACTTCTCGTTCTGCAATATCTGTGCATGAATTGCTCCACATTAAGGATCTCTTCTAATTGCTCCAGCAGAAGAACACAATCTGTATGAAATGGTGCACAAAGTATTGAATGATCAGTCTGGCACTCTAATATCTCCTTGTGCCTCGGAAACAAATGTTTAATTTAATGGATTTTCACCTGTGACTTGCTCAGCTAGACTGCTTCACTGCAAAAACAACATGCTTAAGCTGCCTTCTTTTGTTTTTGTAAGAGCGATTGTGTATCCTCTTGTTTTAATCATGTTTGTGCCACTTGTGCTAATTGTTTTCTTGTTAAGTTATTATGACAGTGTTGTCTTGGACTAGGCTGCAATTGCATAAGAGGAATAGGGAGTCTGTTTTTATTGTGGTTAGCAGAGATTTGACCACATACCACCCATTCACTCAAATTGCAGCTAAATTCACATACACCAGTCTGGAAGCTGTCTACAGAATGAGCAAACTCCAAAAGATTTGGTGCTCCAGTTTGGTTTGGATCTGACATCGAGATTTTTATCCAAGCTATCCAAAATTACTGGATCTGCAAAAGTAGCCTGGACATTTCACAGTCACTGACTTTCTTGAAAAAAGTCTGGAATTTCCTGAGCATGGTCAGGCTGTATTCTTCTGGTATTATTGCAGTCACAGAAGCAGAAAGTGTTTTCCAAATATGTAAAATACTGACAAAGTTTAACTAAAGTTGTTTAAAAAATCATGTACGGTTCTGTTTCAGTTTGAGGGTCAAGATTCAGGTCACAGATTTCCACTAGGTCCAATATACTATGTCCATTTTAGTGATAGGAAAGCTTGTTGATATACAAAGTATCTTTCCTAATATGCCAGTACTACAATTTGTGCTGGGTATTAATTATATGGGAAATATAACTTTAAATATGCATGTCAGTATCTTTGATGGTTAATCATCTAGTAAAGCTTTCCAATAAATAAACATGGTTATGTTGAGGTTTGATTAGAAATTAGTCTGCAAGTTACAATTCAATGAAGGTACAGTAGAGGACAAAATTAAATAATTAATTCAGATGCCAAGAATCACACTGTATTTTGTTAATATGAGGTAGGATAGAGAGAGTGAGCAGTAATCCATTGTTCAGGACAAGGGATGTGACTAGGGACAATATTTGGCAAAGTGTGTTGCAGACAGGAGTGTATTCTGCACTATTAACTAACTAAAAGGTAGGAAGAGTGAGGTGTGAGTGGATGAAGAGAGAAAAAAGATCAATTAATTTCTATACTATACAGAGTATGTGAGTGTTCCAGTTTATACGTGAAAAGAAGTGCATGAATTTCTAATCAATTAAGGGATATTGACCCGTCATAAAGGAACATGATGTTAGAGCCCAAAGATAGATTTTTTTAGATTAATAGGAGAGATTTCCATAAAAAGAATCGGAAGATAGTCAAAGGCAGAGTAATCAATATTAAAATAGCAATGGAAAAAAGGGAGACTAATTTGATAGTTTAGTTCAGAGGGTAAGGGTTTCTTGTATTCCAGTGTCCTGCCATAAGGAAAGATGAATTCTTTCCTGCTCTACTATGGAGTCTGCAAAGTCACAACAGGTAGAACTGGTCCAGATTCTAATCCTATTTATCAGTGCAGACTACCTTCACTCATGCTGCTGGTGGCTCCTTGCCTACTTCAGAAATAAATCCACTCCGATACAGGCTGGGGTATTTAGATACTAGGGACTGGAGGTTGTTTACTGGATTGCAGACAGAACTAAGACCACTCCTGACACCAGCAGTTAGGAAATCACTGTGGGAAGGTAGGACCACCATATTCAACTGACCTTTTCTCCTTGTTGCTAGTAAAAACCAGTAAGATGACCATTCATTTTTTGGCAACAAACTGCTCCTTTAATGAGAGCAGACCTGTGAGTTACCTTGAAACACAGTGTCCAGACAGTGCTCAAAGTATTATGAGTCAGCATAGAGGAACTTGTCAATTACTGTCTATATTAAATTTTGCAGATAACCACCCACCCTAGCTCTCTATCTTCCACATGCAGATAGCACCATGTTCTAGCTTTTCCAGTGCCTGAGTGAGAAAAGCACCATGTAAGGGTATGCTGCAGAGCACCCAAAGGAGGGGTTGCAACTCCCTCTCTAAAGGGATTGGGGCCCTCCATGCTAGCTTGGCTTAGGAGGTGTCAAAGTATACGGTGACCATACCAAACTGCACAAATGGCACAGATGGACTGCAGCCATTATGGTAGGCCAAAGACTTCCATGGCAGCTGTCAGGATTCTGTTCTGCAGCCCTGCATTCTGACCGAAGGGTGTTTTCTCTCCCTTCTTCCCATCATAACACCTGCTAGAAGCCTGGCCATTCAAGCTTTCCCCACGTGAATGGCATCTCCAACTTCCATCCAAACCTTGAGATCCTTAAACAAAACTTCCATCCAGATTGACAGAAATTTAACCTGAACTAGAGTTGCAGAATGTTCAGTTCAGGGGATCTGGGGAATAGATGGGCCATTAATTTTGTTAGTTGAATAATTAAAACCAAATTAAGTTTACAGCGCTGGCCTCCTTATTGTTTTGTAAACATTCTATTCCATTCTAGCCATAAATAAAACAAAGGAGTCTCAATTAACTGAGATGAGTTGAAAAACAAATTGATTGTTAATGTGGAAATTTCTTTTACCTAGAGATTAAAGTCCTGGAAGACAACTGGGAATTAGAATCTGCGTTGAAAAACATCAAAATGCCTAAAATGGAAATTAAGAAACTTGCAGTGAATGGAATTAGTAAGACTTATACAACTTCTATTACTCTATTTATTCTTCTATCAGTTTTACACTTATTCTATCATAGGCAGCATGCTCCAGCAGTTTTTCTAAAAAGGAATTTTGAGTGACACTTTGAGGATTTTGTTTCTGGTTTTGCCATGGATTCTATATTTAACTTTGACCATCTCAATGTTGCTATGGCTCAGTTTGCCCATCGGTGAAACAGATACAGTAGATCCGTACCACACAGAGGTGACTATTAAGAGACTTCATTCATTAATATTTGTAAATTAATTAATTTTTCTCTCACAAGAGGGAGAAATATAAAAATCATTGTGGCAGTCAGAAAAAGGTAATATATAAACTGGTATGCATGCATTATAATGACTTGAGGGCATAGTCTGAAATTTGAAGGTATTATCATTAGTGATTTTACAACATAGTTTTATAATATAGTAATGAATTGATGTATAGAATGTATCCTGTACTCATATAGCTCACCACTGAGGGTACAGCAGCATTATTTTGGAATAACTAATGTTATTCTGAAATAACACAGTCCGCGTCTACACTACAAGCAGTTATTTCAACATAATGTCTCAATAATGTCGAGCTGGAAACTTCTTACTCCGACTCCTGTAACCCTCATTTTACGAGGAGTAAGGGAAGGAAGTCCTGCTGTGTAGACAGTGCCAAAAGCCAAATTAAGCTATTTCGACTTAAGCTATGCTATTGATCTAGCTGAAGTTGCATAGCTTATTTCGGCTATTTCGGCTTTAGCCCTGCTGTGTAGACATGCCCCGAGATAGTATTTGTCATTCCAATTTCATTTTTTCTAAATGCCTGCAGAAATTAAATCATAATATTATTTTATGCAGCTTAATTAAAAACAAAACCCCAAACACTCCAACACTTTATTTCTTCAAAGTTGTTTTAAAACAGTCAAATAAGAAATTTCAAGACTTAAATCAAATCATGAGTCACAATTCATGAAGCCAGTGTTTCATCGCTTATTCATTTTCCTATGCTATTCCAACAAATAATGGCTCATACATAGAAGAATAATCTTAAACATTGTAATTTTGTAATATATCTTTTTTTAGCCTTGTGGTACAAGATGCTTCTACCTCCACAGTTTGATAGATCCAAGAAGTATCCTCTGCTTATTCAAGTGTATGTAAGATTTTCTTTAATTTTTTTACAGAGTCTGCTTTATCAGAAAGGGAATTAGTTCTGATATGTCACATGTAGTGCAGGATAAGTGCATAGGTATATATAAAATGCAAAGATACCAGTTCTTTGGTTTTAGGCTATATTTTTTATATAAAATCCTGAAAGCTTTATTGTTGATTTCAATGAGACTAAGATTAGTCCTTCATAAGGAGAGTAGGAATTTGTAGAATATCACTTGGAATAATTAGTTCCATTACTACTTCCTTATACCATGAGACTGCCTGAGACAGCACATTATGGGTTTCACTGTGGTTAACTTTGGAAAGTATGACATGAGTCTATTGGAAGTGGCTAAGAAAAAAATGTTAACATTGTGGACTAGATTATCCCCAGTTTTCAATTAAGTGTATAAGGAGTTAAGCCCTTCCTATTGCTGAGGGAGGGAGATAGGGTGCAGAAGCGGGGCTGAAGGTGGGGGGTCTGGGAAGAAGGGAGGGCACAGTTGTGGGCTGCCTACTGAATATCATGAGCCTGTTTTGCCTTATATGAGAATATTTGAGAGGAAAATATGAGACGGCTGCAGTGCTTTCTTTTTGATGGTACTGCCCGGTACGCAGTACCAGCACCTCCAGTCAGAGCTCAACAACTTTTCCCCTGGAGTACCAGTACCTTTTTTTTTTGTTTTTAAACAAAAAAAAGCACTGGACGGCTGTATCACTAAAGTCACCTCCAGAAATGTCCCCTTTCCAGAACTAAGGTTCTGATAGGCTACCCAACAGAATGCACTCAAGAAGTTTCTTTTATCATATATATAGTAGCCCAGTGTCTGAGAGTCTGTAACGCCGAAATGCTGGCTGTTCCCTCTGAGGGGCGCTGTTGCTGAAATGCTGGCTGTTTCCTCTGGGGGGTGCTGTTGCTGAAATGCTGGCTGTTCCCTCTGGGCGGCGCTGTTGCTGAAATGCTGGCTGTTCCCTCTGGGCAGCCTGTGCTGCATGGGGAGTGCGGGGCCCAAACAGCCGCTTCCGCCACTTGCTCCCCCACAGTGGCCCGGCTGAGTGGCGCAGAAGTCAGCCGAGTGGTACGGTGGGCGGTGAAAGTGGGCGGGGTGGTGACGTGCAGCGTGACAGCGGCTCTAGGCCCTGCCCCCTAGCTGTGAACATCACCCCCCTGCCCCCCTTCACCTCCCGCCATGGAGCTCAGCTGACTTCTGCGCCACTCAGCCAGGCCACCACGTGGGAGCATGCGGTGCAAGTGACTGTTTGGGCTTCACGCTCCTCATGCAGCACGGGCCGTTTGGGCTCCATGGTCCCCCAAGTGAGAGGCAGGAGGGGGAGGAGAAGAGAAAGAGAGGGACAGACAGAGGCAGGAGGCGGAGGAGAGCTGAGAGAGAGAGAGGGAGGGAGGCAGGAGGAGGAGGAGGGGAGAGAGAGAGAGAGAGAGAGACGGAGCGAGAGACCGGAGGCTCAGGAGAGAAGACTGACGTGGAGGAGAAACCTGAAAATCCCGTCTTATGATGGGTTAATTGGCTAGTATTAAATAAGACCTGAAGTCTGAGCCTTAGTTATTCCATTATTCATGTCCTGTCTTCAGTATATGTTTTGTTTAAGATCATCCAAATCTAACTCTGAGGCTGTGTCTAGACTGCATCCCTTTTCCATAAAAGGGATGCAAATTAGACACATCACAATTGCAAATGAAGTGGGAATTTAAATCCCCCCTGCTTCATTTGCATAAAAATGACTGCCGCTTTTTTCTGGCTCGGAGCTTTGCCGGAAAAAAGCGCCAATCTAGACACGGAATTTTCAGAAAATAAAGCCTTTAAGAGGAATAAAATAAGGAATAAGGGATTTTTCGGAAAAGGCTTTATTTTCCGAAGAATCCGCATCTAGACTGGCGCTTTTTTCTGGCAAAGCTCCTAGCCGGAAAAAAGCAGCAGCCATTTTTATGCAAATGAAGCGGGGGATATTTAAATCCCCACTTCATTTGCAATTGCGATGTGTCTAATTTGCATCCCTTTTACGGAAAAGGGATGCAGTCTAGACACAGCCATAGATTCTGCGAATATTTCTTTCAGGTATGGAGGACCTTGCAGTCAGAATGTAAAGCACACGTTTGGGATTAGCTGGATAACCTATCTTGCAAGCAGAGAGGAAATTATTGTTGCTCTTGTGGATGGCAGAGGAACAGCTTTTCAAGGTGACAAGATGCTGCATGCAGTATATCGAAAACTCGGAGTCTATGAAGTTGAGGACCAAATCTCTGCAGCAAAGTGAGTACCAATAGAATCCCTGCCACATGTTAAGCAATATTGAAGCAGTGGTCTAGGAGACAGATTAGTAGATGCAGTTCAAGGTGTTCGGAGCACTACTTGGCTGATAACTGCTAAAAATGAAAATCCATATTGGGGACTCTTCATTTCCTTCAGTAGAGGCATTAAGAAAAGAGTGAATGGAACAATGGGAGAAGGGGAGTAAATGGAAGGTCTGAAGATATATTTACTGGCATGCAATTTATTAGTTCCTTTTAAATATAGATGTAAACTGAGGACACAGGAATGAAGGCCAAAGTTTGTATCCATGATTTCTGAGACTATCTTCTTTAGATGCTCTTCCACACTGTGATCAGTACTCCCACTGGGCGCCTATGAATTGCTTTCAATTCTGCCACGGTCTCTCTATATAGATGAAAATAAATTTGTGTTTAAATGTTAGGAGTAAAAAGTAAATGAAAAGGTGTTTCATTGTTTCAGTTGGTCAGACAGAGGACCATAATGGTCCCATTGGATCTTATAATCCATGAAGCTGTTACTTGGTCCTTCGTAGAAATCTGATATGCTTTCTGTGCTGATGGTACCCTAGTCT